GACTCACAGCGCCCCTAGAGGATAGAGTGGAACTGCACCACAGGGTTTCCAAGGCTCTCTTTACCAAAAAAGCCCAAACCACAAAAAAAACCCCACAGCTGTGGAGTCAATTCTGACTCACAGCGCCTCTAGAGGACAGAGCGGAACCCGTAGAGTTTTCAAGGCTGTCAGTCTTTATAGAAACAGACTGCTTCTTCTTTCTTCTACGGAGCAGCTGGTGGGTTTGAACCACCAACCTTTCAGTTAAGGGCTGAATGCCTTAGCCACTGCACCACCAGGGGGCCTTCAGAATGACAAGAGGAGCTATTATATAATCCCTATTTTACAGGTGAGAAAGCTGAGGGACAGGGAGTTAAGTGACTTGCCCAGGGCCACACAGCTAGTAAGGATTTGAACCCAGGCCTCAGCGTCTGTGCCAGCAACCACTGGGCTGCACTTCCACAATGACAGACGTCTTCCCCAGGTGACTGGTGTCCCCAGTTCTAGACACACCAGGTGGACTCTCATCAGACCCCTGTCCCAGTTGATGGAGGGGGTGAAGGAGGCAATGGGTGAGGTCGTGAGGGGCACAGCCAGGCTGCGGCAGAGGTTGGCCCCAGCGTGTTGGCCCTTGGCTATCCTCCAGGACCGAGACTTCCAGCCCCTGCGGACTGGCGCGCCCATGTTCCAGCTGTTCAGTGGCAAGACCGTGCTGTATGAGGGGGAGGCCACCGTGTACCCCATCTTCATCAATGAGGCCGCCTACTATGAGAAGGGCATTGCTCTCATCCAGACCGAGAAGTTCACTTTCCCCGTGCCCGCCTTGCCCCCGCTGAGCCCAGACCCCTAGCCCTGGCCACCCTGCTGGGCCTCAGCCTCGCCAGTCCTCACCCCCCAGGCCTCACTTTCCCAATCTATAAAGCAAACAGTGTCCAGGGCTCTGGTCATGTTATCTGTCCTATATGGCTCCTCTCTAGCTGAGGAGGTGGGTGGAAGGAGGCAGGCTTGGCCTTCAGCTGGCCCCGTGTGCCTCCGACAAGCTGTATGTCCTGGGGCCAGTGGGGTGTCTCTGCAGCTGTCCGTCATCCCCTGGGGCAGACACCACAGTGTGAGGAAGAGTCCAGGAAGGACTGTTCTGGGGCCAGCAGAAGGCCTTCCAAGCGTGGCCATGGCCCAGAGGTGGGCCTCAATCCCTAAAGCCCTGGGCCCAGAGCTTCAGTCTGGGGAGAGCAGAGGCATGCACCCAGGTATGTCCACACACATGTGTGTTCATCCATGTGTGGCCACCCTGTGCACACGTGCTTCCACAGTGTTCCTCTGAGGGGTCAGTGTGTGGCCTGGAGCACAGCCCAGGTAGGCGTTTCCTGGTACATCATGCATTTACGTGTGTGAACACGTGTGTAAGATTGCCAGCACCCGTGGGGGCTCAGGGTGAGCCCAGGGGTGCAGCTCTGTGCCCTCAGGTCAGCAGCCACCAGGACACAGAAGAGCGGCCTTGGGTGGGGACAGAGGGAAGTCCCAGTAGGCCCAGGCTTGTCTCCACCACTGTGCCTCAGTGTCCTGTGTGAGGGGAGCTGGCAGGCTCCTGCCCAGGCACTCCCTGCAGGGTGACCATGGCCCTGACCTGGGGGAGCAGGGCGGCCCACAGCCTCGCCCCAGCCACACCCCGCCGCCGGACGGCAGGGCTGGGGGAGCCCTCCCCGGCTCTGCGCCCTCCTGGCGGCCTGGCCCATCCATCTCCCCGCGGCCATGGCTGCCACACCACCGCCTGATATCGAGCGGCGAGATGAGAAGGTGTGAAGGATAGGAAGGCGCCAGGGACGGGCTGGCAGGCAAGATGGATGAGGTGGCAGGGGGCCAGCCGGGAGGGGATGTGGGGGAGCCTGTGGCGTGTGTGTGTGTGTGTGTGTGTGTGTGAGAGAGAGAGAGAGAGAGAGAGTGGGGGTATCCGTGTGCATGCTGTCTGTGTGGCAGGTGGGGTAGTATGTGTTAGGAACCCAGGGAGCCCCAGGCTGGCTCACCCCGGATGTCTGAGTTGACTTGAGGCTGGAGGTAAGATCCTCCAAGCCCTCTGCCATCTCTCCCAGCTCCTCACTCACCCCACTGTGGATCTTGGGACACGGTGGCAGGCCACACCCCACGGGGTGGCCCTGGGAGCTGTTGAGACTTTATCACCAGCACAGAGCACCCCCATCTTACCCTGGCCCACAGCACCAGCAGCAACTTCCTTCCCTGTAGCTGGTGGGTCTGTGCCAGGGGTCACCCTCTGTCCTCACATGCCCCTAGGGCCAGCCCTTAGCTCCACACACTGTGACCTGAACTGGCAGACTCCTCGGAGCTAGAGGGACGAGGGGTCTAGCCCCTGGCTTGAGGCCCAACCCTTAGCCTCACTGAGCCCCTTCTGAGGCCTGCTCTGCTACCACCACGTGTCTAGCACCAGGCTTGGGAAGGGGCCTGGGGGCAGTCCGGCTGATCTTGGGGGCCAGGTGCTCTGGCCTGGGAGGCTCCCCAGGCCGTAAGGTATAGCTCAGCTGGCTGGTGTTGGCTTAGCGGGTCCCCTCCCTGCCTTACCAGTGGTCCCTGCGTCCCCTGAACACTCACCCCCAGGACAGGCTGGGGACAGCCTGGAGGAGGCACCCCGTCGGGCTGGAGAGAACATACAGACCTCGGACAGAGGGGAGGCCCACCCCAGAGGTGTCTGACCTGGGCGGCCTCAGTGTCTGCTTTAGGCACCATCAACTGACCCAACCCCAGCTTCAAGACGGAGGCCTACTGCCCCCAGCTGCGCTAGCCTGGTCCCTGCCACCCACACTAGACCACCCCAAACAGAAGAGAAAGGCACTTAGGTCAGCTGGGGAAACTGAGGCACTGAGCCTGCCAGAGGCCTGCCAGTGCCGGCCGGCTCATTGGGCCTGGCTGTCAGGAGAAGCCAACTTCCTGCTCCCAGCCTGGAGCTCTGACAACACCCGCGGCAGCTCCTCCCTTGCCAATTTCATGTCAAGCATCCCCAGCAATTGCACCAGATCCTGCTGGGCTACCCTGGCCCCAGGTCAGGGGTCTGGGCCCTGGTGAGAGGGCACCAGCGTCTGCCATTCCGTCCTCGGTGCCTCCCCCCCGCCCCGGCCTCCCCAGGCCCTGCCAGCCCCCCTGCTCCCCGCCCCACCAGCAGCCAGGCCCTGGCCCCTATGGACCTCCCAGCCCATCCTGGAGATGGGCCCCGCCCTGCGCCTGGGCCCATTGATCGGGAATGGCTGGGGGCTCTCAGCTGGGGAGGGGAGGGCAGGCTTTGCAACGTCACAGCCTCCCACCTGCCCTCCTCTGCCCAGCATTGGTCCCGCAGCCAGCCTTGGACAGTACAGTCTGAGAGGACGGCTTAGAGGGGCCCCTGCACACCCGACAGCCAGCAGCCCACCTGTGAGGCCAGGAGAAGAGACCTGAGACGTGTACGAAGGACAGTCGAGACAGAAGGACAGTTCTGAGGAGGCCGGAGAGCTGGGCTGTGGCCGCCGAGTGGACGTGGAGACTGGCAGGCTGACCAGCCATCCCGCAGGGAGAGCCCCTTCGTGCAGCACAGCCCGACTCCAGCCACGAAGGCCTCGGCAGGCTGGGGTCCCCATGGCAGGTAGGGTGTCGGCAGCGAGGCTGCCTGAGGGCAGGGCTCAGGCTTCAGGGTGGGGCAGGGCCGGCACTGGGCTTGGGGGCCATGGACACCCCCTGGACCCCAGGCTGTGGATAAGTGGGTGGGCAGGGGCACCCCAAGCAGGTCTGGGAGCCCTTCAGGGCCAGGGTAATGGGCTCACAGCTGCCCAAGTACAAGCTCGGGGATCTGACAGGTGGGGGTCAGAGCCATTTCTGGGAGGTGAGGCCCCACCAGGCGTGTGATCTTGGGCCTGTCCCTGCCCTTCCTTGGGCCCCTTCAGAATCAGGCTGGGGGCCTGGACCAAAGGCCCTTCATTTGCCGTCCTGACCTGGCCCACAGGGGTCTGGCCTTCAGAGGAACTGGGCAGAGACCAGCCTTCCAGAGTTCCGGAAAACACTGAGGGGGATAGATTAATTTGGGCGGGCCACGGGTGGGCTTATAGAAGACTCAGGAGCCAGGGGCTGTGAAGCCCAGCCAAGCCATGAGCCATACCCCTTAGCGCCCCTCATCACGGACCCTGGGAACTGCTTTCTGGTTGCCTGGCACAGGTCGGGGGACATCGGAGCACCTATCTCTGGGCTTCAGGGTCCTCTGGGGGTACAACCCTGACACTACCCACCCCTCTCAGGGGCTTTGGGAGAGACCACTGTACCCTGCCCTGCAGGCTGCAGAAACGCTGAGGGCTTCAGTGAGGTGCCATCTCACACACGTGGCTCTGGGGGCTGCTGAGGCAAGGACCACAGGCCTGGGCCACATGCACCCACCAAGACCCTACTACGCACCAGCCCTGGGCAGCTCTGCCCCCTGTCACCTCATAAGACACCCTCCCTCCCCTTCTCCATCTGTCTGTCCCTCTGTCCGTCTGTGTATCCCACATCCAACATTCCCCCTCTGCTCAGGGGAGCCCACTGTTTTACAAGGGTGTGAACGCCCCAAAGCCACTGGGCAGGGGACACTGCTGGGAAGCCCTGTCCCTGGTCCCCAGTCACTGCTGTTCCCCGGCCCCGCCTGGCACTCTGCCCTTGTGAGGTTTCTTTGAACTGATAGACCTGTTCTCAGGATTAAAGTTAGCAGTGGGCTTTTGTGCAATGCCCATGCCAAGGTTGCAATTGGAAACTGAGTCTTTAGACATAAGTGAGACCCAGGCAGGATAGCTTGGGCTACCGGAGGCAGGTGATCGAGGGCAGGGATGATAAGAGTAATTGGCAGCTAACGGCCCCCAGCCGTGGGAAGCCCCACCTCTCACGGCCACCAGCAGATCTCTGGGCATTTATTGAGGGCCGACTGGGCACGCTGTCGTCACTAACCCTCACACTGGCCCTGGGGCAGGTATTAAGAACCTCTTGTGGTAAAACCCCTTGTAAATGGAGGCTCCGGGAGGTGCGGTATCTGGCTCCAGGCCACATGGACCCACAGTGACTCAAAGATGCTCTGGGGAGAAAGACGGGTGTGGTCCTCGCCCTCCAGGAGCTTGCAGGGAAGACAGACCTTGAAATGAATAGGTATTTAACCTCCGGAAGTGATGCTGAGGAGGCTGCTGTGGCAACACACAGGCCTGCAGTCAGGGAAGGCTTCCTGGAGGAAGAGGTGTCTAGGTGCAACCTGAAGATGAGAGCTGGCCGGGTGATGAGTGGGGGGCAAAGTGAGGCAGGCAGCACCCACATTTCCAGTCCTCTCTTCTCAGCCTTCCTCTCTGCCGGCCTCCGCATACTCGCACCCTCGGAGACCTGCACCCTGCCAGTGGCCAGCTCCAGCTCCCAGCTCCAGCAGGGTCCTCCCTTCCCACCAGGCCCTTGCACTGGCTCCCCCAGAGACCCAGCCATGGCTGAACCCACTGGGCAGGGCCCCAAGAACCCTCGAGTGTCCTGCGTGACAGTGCAGCTGGAGATGAAGGCTCTGTGGGACCAGTTCAACCAGCTCGGCACAGAGATGATAGTCACCAAGGCCGGCAGGTGTGGGCAGCAGGGGTGGGCAGGGCAGGGGCGGTGTGGGGCTGGATGTGGGCGGGGTGGGGCGTGGGCGGGGCCTGGGCATGGGCGGGGCGAGCGAGGCACTTGGACTGCTAAGCTCCCGCCTCCCGCAGGAGAATGTTCCCTACCTTCCAGGTGAAGATCTTGGGCATGGACACACTGGCGGACTATGCCTTGCTCATGGACTTTGTGCCCCTGGACGACAAGAGATACAGGTCTGGGCCGGCCAGGGTAACAGCCTTTGAGGGTCTCCAATGCTGAGACCGCAGCAGGATCTCAGGCAGGGGCCAGTCTGAGCAATGGCCGGGGGTTCCAGTCTAGTCCAACGGCAGGAGGGGGCCCAGCTAAGGAGGTGTGACATGGGCTGAGACCCACCCTGGGGTAGGGGGCTAGCTAGCCTGGGGCAGGCAGAGTGGTCTAGTCCAGGGCAGCAGTGTTACCCGGTCCTCAGCCAGGTGCAGCCCCAAGGACTCAGGGCCTAGTGTGTTCCCTGGGCCTCAGAGTCACGCCTCCCACTTGGGCTGGTGCATGGGGAGGCCAGCACTAGGTGGAGACAGTCGGGGGAGTCAGCCATGGCCCCCGTGTCCCACCAGCCTTGGTCAGACATGGCCCCAGGTGGGGCAGCCACTGAGGGGCTGGGGGATGGAGACTGACACCCTGGCCACCTGGCTCTGCTCCCCAGGTATGCCTTCCACAGTTCAGCCTGGCTGGTGGCTGGCAAGGCGGACCCAGCCACTCCAGGCCGCGTGCACTTCCACCCCGACTCTCCAGCCAAGGGTGCACAGTGGATGCGTCAGATCGTGTCCTTTGACAAGCTCAAGCTGACCAACAACCTGCTGGATGACAATGGCCATGTGAGGCCTGGGCCATGGTGGAGTGGAGGGGGCTGTGCTGGGCCGGGGCCATGGCATGGGGAGGGGCCTGGACCTGGTGGGTGGGTGTGGCCTGGGCATGGGGGCGGGGCCTGGACCTGCAGGGCTGCTTCCTTCCCGTGTTGAGTCCTGGAGCCTGGGCTGGTCTGGCCTTTGGTGCCCAGCACCCCTGCCCGCTGCTGAGGCCCAAGGCAGGGAGGCTGAGCCCACCTGGCTGGAAGTCAGCCAGCCAAGGGGACTGTCTAGGCAGCAGGGGAGGTGCAGTGGGAGTGGGAGAGTGTCTCATCACACATAGTCATGTGAGGCCCACCACCACCCAGTCCCCACCTTCACGCACCTCATGAGACCCCAGGGCCATGCTGCACCAGCGCATTTACAGAGACCTTCATCTGACCAACAGTCTTGCAGAACACCTCCCACGGCCCAGGCCTGCTGTGGGTGCCGGCCACAGCACTGTCCACTCGGGGTCAGAGACAAAGTGCCCTGCCCTCCAGAGGCTCACGTCCTAGGGTGGTGTGGGGGCCAGATGGTAAACGTTCATCAGACAGTGATGAATGCCAAACAGCTAAAGGGGCCAGGCAGGGGGTGGAGACCTAGAGTGGCCACTCCACCAGGGACGGATCAGGGTTGGCCAAGTTTGAAAAGGAATCTGAAGGTGTTGGAGGGAACGTGTGCTTATCTAAAGAGGAGCTGTTCCAGGCAGAAGGAATAGCAGTGCACAGGCCCCGAGGTCAGAGGGGGTGGAGCAAGTTCAAGAAAGTGCAAGGAGTCCTCCCCTCCCCTCACATGGCTAGGGGAGCCTGGGAGGACAGCGATCAGGCCAGGCCGTGGAGAGGGCTCTGGCTTGTCCTTCTGTGTGGGAGGGGCACCACGGGAATTTTGAGCAGGGCCTGATGGCTGCTGTGTGCAGAATGGACGTGTGGCAAGGTGGAGACAGGAATCCAGGAGGAAATGCTGGTGGCTGGGCTGCATGGAGGCCGTGGGTGGGAGAGGTGGTCAGCTTCCAGCGAGTTTGGAGGGTACAGATGACCGTTAGGATGTGGGGTGTGTGGAAAGGAGAAGAGGAACCAGAGACCCCCAAAACCAAGAATAGCTAGGCTGGGCCCCAGCTGGAGCGGCCTTGGAGGCCTGCAGGAGCCGTGGGGGTCTCTGCCCCCGGGGAGGGGGACTTCACCCAGAGGAAGGGTCTGCCGCCCCTCCCCCCAGATCATCCTCAACTCCATGCACCGGTACCAGCCCCGCTTCCACGTGGTCTTTGTGGACCCGCGTAAGGACAGTGAGCGCTATGCCCAGGAGAACTTCAAGACCTTTATCTTCACGGAGACCCAGTTCACGGCTGTCACGGCATACCAGAACCACCGGGTAGGTCAGGCACCACTCAGGATACACCAGCCTGTTTCCTGAGGGTGGAGACTGAGGCCCCAGGCTCTTGGTCCACAGACAGGCAGACCCCACCTATCCTTCACTGGGGCTCAGTGGGCATCTCCCCACTCATTTCCCTGCCTTCACAGCCACTGGCTCGGGGTCCCTGGGCCAAAAGGCCTGGGTCCTAGGGCCTTCTGATTGGGGGTCTAGGGAGGATAGAGTGGCTGGGCTGCACCCCACAGCCTCTCCCTGGTTTGGGGATGCCTGCACTAATCTAACTCTCTTCTCTCTGCAGATCACCCAGCTGAAAATTGCCAGCAACCCTTTTGCCAAAGGCTTTAGAGACAGTGATCCGGATTCCTGGTACCTTCCAGCCCTGGCCGGCTCTGCCCAACAACAGCCCTGCCCCAGCCCCTCCCAGGGCTCTCCTAAGACTCTGGTGGGCCACCCTCAGGGCCTACCCTCGGCTCCTGACTCTGGTCCCGTGCCCACTGACTTCCTGGGTCCCACCACCTGACTCTGCCCATGATGGCTACCCTGGGTTCTTCACCTTAACTACCTCACTCTTGCCTGCCCCATCTCAGGCTTGTGTCCCCACGGCCCCTGCTCAGTGTCCCGGCCCAAAGTCGAAGCAGCCTGAGTTCCTGCCCGCTGAAGGGCCCCACAGAGCAGGAGAAAGGTAAGCCCTCAGCCCGGTCCCAGCCAGCCAGTCCCCAGGCCACTGACACAGTTGGACCACAGCTTGGTGAGAAGACACAAGGAGACAGGCCACGAGGCCACCAGGGAGGGGCTTCCCACACTGAACAGTGCCATTGGGCACCTGTGTGGACACGGGGTGGGGGAGGGCAGAGAGTTCTAAGCCAATATGGGGTCCGGAGCAGAGAGAACAGGACAGGGAGTGTCAGGTGGGCTTCCTGAAGGAGGTGGTTCTGGAGCTGGGCCTGGGGGGACTGGGAAGGGCTTGGACAGACGGAAAGCATCGGCAAAGGCTGCGAGGCAGCTTCCTGGGGTGGGCGGAGTGGGAACCAGGAAAGGGCAAGCCCAGGATGAGGGCTGCAGGTGTGGGGGGAAGTCTGGGGCCCACTCAGACCATCTCCTCCTTCAGACCCCAACAAAGCCCCAGCCTCCACCTCAAGGACCTCTGCTCGGCTCCACCATCAGCTGCTGGCTCCCCCTGAGACCGTGCTCACCCCGGCCATCTACCAAAGCCTGTACCCTGGGGCTCCAAGCCCCCTCGGAGTCCCGAGGGCCAGATCAGCACCGTATCCTCTCCCCAAGATCCAAGCTGACAGGGATCAAGGGAGACTGCCCCTCCCAGAAGGGCTGGGGCTCCTGTCCCCCACCTCTGTGTGCCTGGGGCCTCACCAGGAGCCACAGTGATGAAGACCCATGGACAGAGTCCCCCCTGGAGAGGGCGACAGACCGTGCCCCGCTCCCTCCAGCCCTACCTGGCAGAGACCCTTTCTGTGGACGCCCAGAGAGCAAGGCTCCCTGCCCAGAGGCACACAAGGCTGGGGTCATGCCAGGCTTGGAACCAGGCCTCCTGCCTCCCATCCCAGGGACAGAGACTCCCACCGCCTCCCTCTTTGGGACTGACCCCCCCAGATCTTGCTCCCTTCCCTCCCTGCCCCCCAACATTAAACCATTTGGCATGGGTGGTCAGAGCACTTCTGTCTTCAGGGGTTGGGATGGGAGGGCCTCGGGGACACGCAGACCCAGGCCAGACCCCATCAGCCCTGTGACATCCCAAGCCTCTGGCCACTGCCATCCACATCCGGGGTGGTGGGGGAGCATGCGGTGATGGTGATACCCAACTGCGTGGCACCTGCCTGCTCTAGCAAAGCTGGGGCACCCCCTGCCACTCTGTGTGTAGCTGCTGCACGCAGAAGGGTCGTCTGGCCTCTGAGGAGCGAGGTCCAAAGTAGAACCCCCAAAGGCACTGACCATCACGGAGTGATCTGGAGTCCAATGAAGGCTTAAGGCAGGAGAGCGTCCTATACATAACAAACAAAATCAAACTCGCTGCCTTCTCCTAGCAACCCCTCCTTGGGTTTCCAAGGAGGTAACACTATGGAAGTAGATTGCCCAACCTTCCTTCTGAGGAGTGGCTGGTGGGTTTGAACCTACAGTCTTCTGGTTAGCAGTCAAGTGCCTTATGCACTAGGCCAACAGAACTCCCTTCCTAGAGATAGTGCCATTTAAACCGACTCCTAAGGAAGAAGGAACGGTGAGGGGGCGTAGGGGAAGAGCTCCAGGCCCTGGGAAAGAAAGGCTGAGCAAAGGCCTGGCGGCTGAAGCCGGGCTGAAGGACCAGGCTGGGAGCTGGCGCGCCACCCAGCGGCTCCGAGAGGGAGCGACTCCCGCGGCTCCCGGCCCGTCTTTGGCCCCCGTAGGCCTCCCAGATGCCGAGTCTGCACAGCTTTGCGGAGGGAAGGACACACGTAGGGGAGGGGAACGCGGGGTCCGGGAGGGCCCCAAAAGCCAGACTCCCGCACCCTGCGGTCGGAAGGGCTGGATCGGGTCGCCGGGCCTTGCGCGGCCGAGCAGTTCAAGGACCTGGACGACACTTCCCAGATCTCCCCAGCTCCACCGCCGCCGCTTCCCTCTCAGGCCTCTCTCATCCAGGCTCCGCCCGTCCCAGGCCCCTCCCCTTCAGGCCCCGCCCTTCCCCAGGCTCCGCCCCACCCAGGCTCTTCCCCAGTCCCATAGGACCAATCCCTTTCCGAGCCCGCCCGCTCCTCCCGGGACCGCCCCCTCATTTCGATTGGAGGCTCCTTTCTAGGCCCCGCCTTTAACCATGTCTCCGCCTTCGATTCCCTTCCAGGTCCCGCCCGGCGGCATCTCAATGCGAGTCTGGGGTCCAGCCCCGGCTAGCGCGCAGGCTCCGCCCACCGCGCAGGCACCGCCCCCTCCCATTCCGGAGCACCACGTGGTAGGAAGGGCGGGGCCTGAAGACCGAACTTCTCTGGGGGCCGCGCGCTGGTTGTCCCGGCCACGCCGGGCCGGACATGGTGCCCGACTGCCTGTCGGCGGAGGGCGAGCGGCGCTGCCGGCAGCTGCTGGCGCGGGCCACGGCTCGGTACCGTGCGCGGCCCGCGGGAGCCGCGGTGCTCGTGGCGCTGTGCTTGGTGCGCGGGGCCCCGGCACTGCTCTACACGCTGCGGTCCAGTCGCCTGGCCGGGAGGCACAAAGGCGACGTCAGGTACACGGCCGGGACTCCCTCCCTGCCCTGTAGGAGGCGGCAGAGCCCTGGGGGCGGCAGGCACTTAAGCTCTCCGCCCCTCCGTGTCCGCCTCTGCATAAAGGGTCCGTGAACGCCCATGCGCTCCTGGGCTGCGGCGAGGAGTTAGCGACCTGCGTACTCCGGCCCCGAACCTGGCGCCCCGCCCTCGCAGTTTGTCCTCTGCCACTCCGGCTGGGAATGCCTCTGAGCCGTTTTCGTCTCTCTAAAAGGCGGGACGCCGCCCCCTGCCGGCGAATGTGGAGAGGTTTAGGGCACGTCAAGGCTGCTGCCTCCTGCATCTTCCCCGCCCCCTTGGAAATTGGGGGCACCCTGTGGGGTCAATGTCAGCGCCTCTGGGTCTACCATAGGCAGCATTTGAGTGTCTGAACTGTAGGCCCTTCTTGCGCTATCTGCTAGGGCCTTAGCCCTGCCCAGGGCTGAGAGGGCCTCTGTGAGTCACCCCTTCCTCAGGGAGGTAAACTGAGCCCCCAGAGATCACGTGACCTGCCCACGGCCTCAGTGCAAGCCAAGGACAGAGGCAGAGTGTCCTTAAGGTGGGCCCTTTGCCACCGCCACCAGCATCCCAGACCCCTACCGTTCTGTGGCCCTAACAACCTGATGACCAGCCCCCTGTGCGGGCCCAGTTTCCCAGGCGGCAAGTGTGACCCTGATGACCAGGATGTGGTGCACACTGCCCTGCGGGAGACCCTGGAGGAGCTGGGTCTGGCCGTTCCTGAGCACCATGTGTGGGGGATCCTGCACCCCGTGTTCGACCAGGTGAGCCCTCCAGGTCAAGGCCACGGCCAGCCTGAGCCCATACACTCATCTGTTCCATGAAGCTCTGGGCTGGGAGGCAGGACTCCAGGGACTGGGGGAGGGGTCGTGGATGCCAGCTCAGGTAGAGCGGCCCAGCACCTGCCTGGCATCCACTTGTTTCATACCTACGACAGCTTTTGGGACAGGTATTTCTATCCTCCTGCGCTCTGGTGGCGTAGCGCCTAAGGCACTTGACTGCTAACCAGAAGGCTGGTGGTTCAAACCCACCAGCCATTCCTCAGAAGGAAGATTGGGCAATCTACTTCCGTAGTGATACCGCCTCAGAAACCCAAGGAGCGGTCGCTGTAAGTCGGATCCAACTCGAGGGCAGTGAGTTTGTTTGTTTTGTTTGTTTGTTTGCTGGCTCAGGAAGGAGCCCTGGTGGTGCATTGGTTAGGTGCTTGTGCACTAACTGAAAGGTCAGTAGTTTGAACCCACCAGCAGGTCCACAGGAAAAAGATATGGCAGTCTGCTTCTATAAAGATTACAGC